AGGATGACAAATGGTATTACAGCTGTACGCCTGACCCCAACAGAGCAGTAGCAGTTGCCTGGAGTGCCCGGTTGAAGCAATATCCAGGCTCTGCAGGACTGAGGACCCACAGGGAGTAGTGATGTCTGGCATAGTTAAGGGAAGGGAAAGTGGTGCCACACTTCTGGGGCCTGGGGACTTGTCAATGAGTAAATTGCATGGAGGTTACTGTGTGGTCTTAGCATCATCTATCTATATTTTCGGATTTGCTTTTGCTTACTCCTTTGTTCTTAGCAGGAATATATATTGCTAAGGAAGCTAGATAAATGACTTCTGGACAACTAAAGTGTCTACAATGGTCTTTTTCTTTCTCTCTCCCCTTATTCTATTTTTCTTGGCCCATGCTCTTTGGTTTAGGTCTTCAGCGAGGCACCACCATTCACAGCACCCACCCACTTTATCTAAGTCATGGAGAGCACATAAGGCTAAAAAAGTGCAAACCCCTGGTATAGATTAGACAACCACAAGTAAGTACATTAACAAAGAAACAAATGATTACAGTTAGCACAAGAGATATTTTTCCAGGAATATGAAGTATGTGAGGATTTAATTATACATGGCACCCTGACACCCATTGGACCACCAATATTAACTCGGAACTTCACCACTGTATCATTCTTCTCCACTGTCTACAAGAGCTGATGGTATTTCTTGGCCTCTTTTGCTACCATTTCTGCCTTTGTTACCACTACTGCTCCATATACGATCTCCTCTGCACGCTTTCCCTTTCTCTCTGCCTCTCTTATTTCTTACCTAGTTGGATCCCTGTCATGTCATCTGAGCTTCTTGGTTTCTACATGAAAAGACTGACCTTTTATACACATCACCGTCAAGCCACAAGATTTCTTCCATCCTGTTGGAGAATTAATCAATCACAGCTTATCCACTATAACCTTCATGTCTTTGGCTCTTCTTAACTACATTCAAAGTACACAAAACTCAGAGTTACTTCTCTTCTAAGATACAAGTTCTATTTTTTTCCTTTTGTATCGGACACCATTCCTGGTGCTTGAACAATAGATCTGGATAAGTGAGGTTAGGCTGCAGACACTTTTCCAGTGTTCCACACGTGACAGTCAATGTCTGCATTCATAAGCCTGCCCTAGGGGTGGCCAGTTTAGGCTCGACTTCCAAGCGGCCTTCTCTAACAATTCCCTTTTTCTCCCTCTCTTTAACATATGACTCAAAGGAAGGGAGATTGTCCCATTAGAGGAGTAATCTTGATTCTACTAAAAGTGATCCTCTTAAATCATTTGCTAAATTACTTATGGCAAAACATAGTGGGCTTTAGTCCTAATATTTAAACAACTCCTGATAGCTCAATTTGCTGAAGAATCGTCTTAAAAATAAGATTGCTGATGGTTTATCATCACTCAGAGATCCAGTTCATCAAGTGATATCCTGATGGACATTATTGTATCATTATTCCAAGACCAGAGTTACCTGATAGTGCGAATTTAATTAATAGAATTATGAAGGAAAGAAAAATGATAGAGAAATAAATAACTTCAGGGAAGTAAGAATGAGACAGTTTCTACTGTTGTGATTTTGTTGTGGTGGCTGTTACATAAGATACAAGGTTTTATTTACCTATGTTTACCTATTGAAGAGAAGCAAGAGAAGAGGGAGGGATAGAAAATATATTGGTAAGAGGAGGTTATTTATGGTATAAGATTTTCTTGTCCAATACGGTAGCCACTAGCCACATGTGGCTATTGAGCACTTAAAATGTGGTTATTCTAAATTGAGATATGCTGAAAGTGTAAAATACACATGGGATTGTGAGGATTTGGCAGGAAACAAAAGCATGCAAACTATCACATTAATATTTTTTGCATTGGTTACATATTGAAAAGATAATATTTTAGAAACATCAATTTAAATAAAATATATCATTAATACTAAATTTCACCTGTGTCTTTTTACGTTTTAAAATGGCTAAAAAATTTTTAAATTATGTATATGGCTTACATATGTGGCTCACGTTACATTGTTTTTAGGCAGCATTTGTATAAGGTTTTATCTACTGGGATTAGATTGAACCGCAAGTAACAGAAAACTCCAAAATAACATGGGATTACTCAAGACAAATGTGTATTGATTCCTTACACAATAGACCAGAGGTAGACAAGGCTGGGAGGGCCACTCCATATTTATCAGAGACTTGGCTTCCTTTCATCCTCTGTTACAATCTGAGAAGCATGCTGCCTCATGGTCCAAGATGGCAGCTAGAGCTCTAACCAGAATAACCACATTCCAGCTAGCAGGAAGAGAAAGGAACCCAGCAAAGACACCTTCTATGTGCAGCTTTCTAAAACCATTTTCTGTCATTTACCCTGATAAGTGAGAACCCACATTGGTCAAGATATGGGCATTTTTGTTAAACTTTGGGGGAAAACTCATCACTGGGATTGGGTACCATTTTAGTCAAGAGGTCACCCACAAATACGAAGGAAGCTGGACAACACAGTCTTTATTCCTAACAATAAGTATACAGCTAAAACTCAGGAGTTATTTTTAGGATGATCATGTGTCCTAGTTAGCCAGAAAGTCTGTTTTGTGTGTGTTGTCCTGGCATAATTATTAATAGCTCCCCCTTTTTCTCTCTCAAGTGTCCTAGTTTGGATGATAAATTATATGGTCACCTTGTTATATTACCAAGAAAAAGAAGAAAAACAGATGACGGGGTAGACAATTCAGTATCTGCTAGAGCATTTTGAGGAATCACTTGAGAAGTCCTTGGCAGGTAGGTGTTTCCTTAGCCCACCTCACAACTGTTTTGAAACTGTGCTTGTAGAGGTTACCAGTAACTTCATATTGAAAAAGGACTTTTGTCACTATTATTTATTCGCTTAGTTGTGTTGTGACTCCATGTACCAAGCACTATGCATTTGGGGGACACAGGGATAAAATAGAATTCAATACTATTAGTCCTCATACTATTAAACCCATCTTCTATTACAGTGGAGTAATAGAAGTCTGAATTATCTGAATTCTGGGACTGTTGTTTCTCCCACTGGATATTTGTCTAAGTCTCTTTCTATCTTTTTCTGGTTCCAGAATATTCTAGCCCATTGTTTCCCCCAAATGTCTCCAATATGTCACTAGTTCTTCAAGAAAGTGCCACAGTCAAATAAAATTTGCAAGTGCAGCATAATTAGAGCCTCACAATGCACATTAGCATATTAAAAGCTCTAAGAAGTACAACAGAAATTCCTGTTTAACTCTTCTAATCTGAACTGGTTCTAGGGTTAATACCTGCCTAATAGCTGATATAACATCCCTTTTACACTGCTTCATTTGTCCCGGAAATATGAAGATGTTATAAATTCTCTACCCGTAGCTCCTCCCTCTACATTCAGCCTCCTGATCCCCACATTTGTTCTCTAAGGAGATGACAACCTTTACCTCGTTCCCCGCACAAATTAAATGGGCATCTTTACTCGAATAGAACATCATTATCTCAAACTTCATGATCTTGAAGTTAATTACCTAAAGTTTAAATTTGTTTCATTGTCCCAAATCAAGTCTCTCCTCATGCATGTCAATCTTGGGAGTAATACTGCCTGTACAAGATATTTTATTTCTTTTGTTAGTGGTTTCTTTGTTTTGGTTTGTTTTGTTTTGGTTTGGTTTGGTTTGGTTTTGGCAAGGGTTGGGTAGAGGTTTTGGAGCAGGTTGAGTGGCCTTGCAGCTTTATTCCTACTTTTGGAGAAAGTTCCTTTTTGTGCAGTGTTGGTGAGACATTATGCATTGCCAATGGCTCCTGGCAGTCTAGGCTTGAGCATGTCATCTGGACTCTGCCAGTTAGCCTCCCACTGGACACTCTGAACCTTGAGTTATCAGAATAGAAAAGTATGAATGGTTACAACTCACTCATAGCGTAGCAAGGCTGATATTAGCAGTATTCCTTGACGAGTGGCCCTGGCCTAGTCACCCCAGATGACTCGAATGTATTCTAAAGTTTGGCAACCACTGCATCAGGTCTTTGTTATTTATCAGCTGTCCCAGGAAAATTTAATTCGTATCCTACCCAAGATTAACTCTTCCTTTTTGAGAGTTTTATAACCCTTAATGTCTATATGGTGAACCTATGCTGTGTTGATTTGCTGTTATTTAAGCAGGTACCTCCTTCCTCTTTTTTTTTTTTTTTTAAGTTTGTTTATTTATTTTGAGAGAGACACAGACAGCATGAGGGGGGAAGGGGCAGGTACAGAGGGACAGAGAGAGAGAGAATCCCAAACAGACTCTGTGCTGCCAGTACAGAGCCTCACACAGGGCTTGAACTCTAATCCCAACTATGAGATTATGACCTGAACTGAAACCAAGAGTTGGTCTCTCAACCGACTGAGCCACCTAGGTGCCCCAACAGTTACCTTATTTCTACTAGTTTCTAAGCTTCTAGAAGGTAGGATATAAGTCACAATGACTTACATAAGGTTAATAGCTGACTTAGTATGATAGGGAAAGATAGGATTCAGTAGGCAGAGAGGGAAAGGTTAGGACCCAAAGTCCCTGGGTGAGGGGAAAAACACATTTTAAAAGCATTTCTTCTGGGAACATCTGACCTCCAGCCAATCCCTCAGGCATAAAATTCCTCTTGAGAATGACAGACACCACCTACTACCCCTCAGATTTCCCTCAGGAATCTGACAAACAAAAGACCCAACTAAAAATAAGTAGACTATAAAAACATATTACCCACAAGGAACGGGTGTGGCCATAGCCCACCAACGGAAATGAGCCAATATAAAAGGAATGACTAGGCATTTAGAGTTACCTAGTCAATAAGGGTAGAACCTGAGAGGGATCCAGGGGGAAGGCAGTGCCAAGCAAAGGTCCCACCGGGCCTATAGCTGGCAGGCATTCACTTTCGAATGCCCCTCTCTGTAAAGAGAGCTTTCATACTATTCTTATTTTCTGATCTTTACTCTAATAAACTTCTTTGCTGCTCATTTTAGTGTCCACCTCTTCATTCTTTGAAGCAGCGAGACAATAAACCTTGGGTATTGAGGTAAAAGAAAAATCCTGCAACATTGGGAATACATGAATATTTGCTAATGACTCTTTAATTGCACTTGATATGTAAAGTATTTAGTTTTCTGTAATAAACTTTAAATTTGTTCACCTCTATTTAAGACGTTCTAAAGCAATGGTTCTCACATTTGCAGTATTTTTAAATCACCTAGAACACTGTAACAAATACTTATACTCAAGTCACAACTTCAGATATTCTTATTTAAATGACTTGGGGTACAGCAATCTGGTCATTGTGCTTTTTAAAAGTTCCTAAATGATTCTATGTTACAGGCAAGGTTGTGAGTTATCTTTGTGATAGTCAAAGTGTAGTTCAAACAGCAGCAGCAGCAGTTCACCTGGGAGCTTCAGAATTTGCATTTTAACAAGATTTCCAGAGGATTCATATATGCATTAGAATACGAGAAGCAGTTGGTCTAGAGCAGGAATGGCCAATAGAAACATAAACCTGAGATACTGTGATTTATAAGAAATACGTATTTGGTCATTCAAATGACCAAGATACACAGTTCCTGGCTTACAGCTCCCAAAACCGTTGGAATTTCTTGGGAGCATCTTTTGTTATAACACTTGGTCTCTTGTCCTCAGTTCCCCCAAATCCCTTCAGAACCATAAAGCTGAAATGGGTGTCTTATTCATAATAAGCTCCTTGCCAGCCCAACTATGTTTATGTTCAGGAGATGACTTTGGAAAATACCTATGAGTGGAATTTGGTTGCAGAACTTTTAGTCCCATGGGATGATTTGTAGGGAAGGGAGAGGGACTTTGGCCAGTCACCACTGGCCAAAGATTTCATCAATCACATACATGCATACGTAATAAAGCCATCATAAAAACCCAAAGGAAGGGGTTCAGAGAGCTTTCAGGTTAGAGAACCAGAATGCATGACCCTACCAGGCTCCAAACTCTACTGGGACAGTGGCTCCTTTGTTTGGGACTTCATATTGTGGATTTCTTCATCTTGCTATTGATTGGTATCTTTCAATATCCTTTGCAATCAGTAAGCTAGTGAGTTCATGGGTTTCCTGAATTCTGTGAGATGCCCTAACAAATTAATCAAATCCAAGAAAGGGACAGTGGGGACCTCTGATGTACAGCCAGTCAAGCACAGGTAACAACCTCGGCTTGTGATTGGCATCTGAAGCAAAGGGAAGCAAGCCAGTCTTGTGGGACTGAGGCCTTCACCTGTGGAATCTGATGCTTCCTTGGAGTAGATAGTATCAGAATTCAGCTGGACTGTAGGACACACACACCCCCAACTGGTGTGTCTGAGAATTGTTTGCTGCTGTGGTGTTCAAGCCCCTCATCAGGCTCTGTGCTGACAGATCAGTCTGATCTTGGGATCAAGACTTGGGATTGGTGTCTCCTTTCTCTCGGCCCCTCCCCCATTCACATTTGCTTCCTCAAAAATAAATCAACATTTTAAAAGTTTTTTAAATGCTTCAAAAAAAGCTTTTAAAACGGTAAAAATAATTTTAAGAGTATGTTTATGTAACCCAAAGTATCCAAAATACGATCATCTCAGCAGTTACTATAACATTTTCAGTGGACTATTTTACAGGGCTTTTTTCCCCCAAGTTTTTGAAATCCAGTGTGTATTTTATACTTATAGCATGGCTCCAAGCAGTCCAGTGACATATCAAGTGCTTCAGAGCCACATGTGGCTAATGGCTACCATACTGAACAGTGTAGATGGAGAGCTTATTCACTTTGCCATCTCCTTGCTTTTTGCTGTAGTCGAAGGACATTTTCCACCCATCCACCCATTCACTTTCCTGTCCATGCAGCCCATTGCTCCTCACAGCCCAGGAAGCCCTCCCTCTTCTTCCTTCTGGTCTAGGTTCCATTCTTTTTCTTTAAACCTAGTCCAGGTCTATAACTCCTTAGTAAAACCTTCCTAAAATGGTCCCAGATCACATTGGTTAGTTGCTGCTCTAGATTTTACAGTAGAGTTTCTGCTCTACTTTTTACATGCTGACCTATTAGTGAAGGTGGTCAAAGATGCTTTTAGAAAACTAAACGTGGAATGTAATTAGAATTGGAAAACATGCTGCCCTTCTTAATAAAAACAAAATGTAGACCCTCAGAAGTTTGATATTGAAAAGCAATTTCTCAGTAGGCAGGAACAACCTTCCTAGGCATGCTAAATCAATCCACATAATTCTCTTGGAGATCTTTTACGGTTACTCTGGCCTGCCATTCCCCACCCCATACTCCTAGAATTAAATGATTAATGCTCTGCCTTAAGCATAAATTCAAATGGAAGCAACAACTCTTCTTAATTGCTCCAAAACTTAACTGAACAAAGATTAAACATCCAAAAAAGATTTTATTAATAGCTTCCACTAAGAAAGCAAATTTATCTGAGTACAGTGAATTTTGATCATCTGCCTTGTAAAATGTAGCCTGTTTTCTCTAAGACCAAGAACACCTCATTCATATGGGACAAGGATGGGGAATCAAGAGAGATCTTGCTAAGTTCCTCCCTTCCTTGCTCCTTTTCTTTCTCCACATAGTGATATGATATTTACATGACAAACCTAGCACTTCTTAGATATGTTGACTTCTCTTGGTCTAGACTGTCCAATATGGCTGTACTGTCCAATATGGTAACCATTCACCACACTGGCTATTGAATACTTGAGATGTGGCCAACCCAAATTGAGATGGGCTGTAAATGTAAAATACATAACAGATTTCAAGATTGAGTTTTCCATTGCTGCTGTAAAAAATCACCATAAACTAAGTGGCTTATAAAACACCCACTTATTATGTCACACTTCTGTAGTCCCAAAGTTGTGCCGTGGGACGAGGTGGCCAAGTGGTTAAGGCGATGGACTGCCAAAGTTGTACAGCATGGCTCAGCTGATCCCTCGGCCTGGAGTCTCAGAAGGCCAAGATCAAAGTATTAGTTGGCCTGTATTCTTCTCTGGAGCTCTGGAGATGAATCTGCTTCCAGAATCATTCATGTTGTTGGCCAAATTCAGTTCCTTATGGTTGTAGGGCAGGTCTCATTTCTTTCCTGGCTATCAGACACAAGCCTCTTTCAGATCCGGAAGGCCACCTGCATTCCTTGTCACATTGGCCCTTCCATCCTTAAACCAGCCACAGCATGTTGAATCCTTCTCATGATTTAAATTTCTCTGACTTCTTTTTTGCCGCTTGTCTGTTTTTAAAGAACTCGTGTGATTAGTCTGGGTCCAGCCTGACAATCCTGGATAATCTCCCTATTTTAAGGTCTATAAACTTAATTACCTCTGCAAAGTCAAATTTGCCATGGTAATGAACATATTCATAGATTCCAGGGATTAGGATATGGGAGCTATTCTGCCTATCATAATTTTTAAAAGGGGGGGGTAATTTCATTAATACTCTTTATATTTCTCACATGTTGAAATATCTAAAATATATTCATTTCAATAAAACACATTATTGAAATTAATTTCACCTGTTTCTTTTTACTTTTTTAACTATAGTATATTTGAAATTGCATCTATAGCCCCCAATGCTGCCTTGTATCACGCTTCTCTTGGCCAGCACAGGTCTAAACCTTGAGAGAGGTTAAATCCTCTGTACCATCTTCATAGGTTTTGCACCTGTACTGTAGACCACTTCTTCAATACGAAATGCTTCCCTTACAATCACATGTGGCCTTATAAGTTCAGGCTCCCAACCACTTAAACATAACATAATACAAAAACCAAAACTTTCATAGAAGAGATATTCAAATACAGTGATAGAGTGTGGAGATGTCGGTAGAGGGGCTTATTTCCATACAAGGGAAGGGCCTCAGGTCCACTAGATCTGTCTCTGATAACTCTAGTGATTACTGAGTTTGCCCCACGAGGGTCACCTTTTATTCATCTTTTGGTTTCTGGCTGGTGGTACATAGAGGGGTCCTTTGAATGAATATTTGCTAATCTGAGTGAATCTAGATGTCAGTGACTGGCTAGTTAAAAAGAAAATAAAAGGGATGTTCTAAAATAAGTCAGCCATCCCCTCCTTCTTAATAATGACAAACACTTTCATGCTTTAACTGAGAGGATCTGCCTCCATTTAAACTATAAGCTGAACAATATTTAACAGTTACACCTTTATGATACAAGAGAGTGTGATGATGCTCAGAAAAAAAAGTTCTTTACCAAATGAGCACTCTAATTAACCAGATGTTTTCATTACTGTGCACTTTATTTGGCTTTGGCAATGAAACCAGACCAGAACCTGTGACTATTTTCAATACCACATTTTAAAAAGATCTTTTGGATGCCACTTTGCCCAGTGTTTAGTTTTAATTTAACACGGCACCAAAATGCTACTATGAAATATGATAGACCCCAACCACCCACCTCTGCACTTCACCTAGCAAGTGGGAAGGCCAGCATATCCGTGGGACCTGAAGACCAGCATGCAAAAAAAAGTGCAAACACCCCGATCTAACCCTCCGACCACAGGCAAGGTTTTCCAGAGCTTTGCTTCTCTGTTTCTGGGTCTGTACCTGCTGTCAAGCCCAGTTGAGATCTTGCACGAGCTAGGCAGCATCACTGGACAATCTCGCAGTCCATCAGCTACCCAGCCAAGGATCCTCTGAGGAGAAGTAGGATTGCTGAGCAGCACAGGCTGCTGAATGTTTCTCTCCTACCAGATGTAAACCTGAAGCAAGACCGAATTCTGAGAAACCAGATCCATCTCAAACCCATCATCCTTCTCAGTAATCTTCCTGGCACAAAAGAATGAATACCAATAAAAAGATAACATAAATATTTTAAATAAAGTTTACTAATTGAATGGACTGATAGAGGGAGTGAGGCATTCTTCAAAATCTATTGTCATGCCTTTGTGGACTTTATTGCCTATCAGCATTTTTTTCCCTCAAGAAAAACAGAACAGCAACGTTTGTTCAGAAAAAAAAAAAAGCCAATTGTGTTGCTTCCTTTCTTATTACTTTTATTGTTTGAGGTTTCTTTTAGACTATAATGTGGCATTGTGATTCTGAGATGGAGGAAAAAACAATCCCTTGTCTTTCAAACATAAGAATGTGATTGTATGCTATTGTTGCCAACAATGAGCTAAAGAGGTTAATGGATCACATATCTGGCAAACAGCCATTTTTCCTCCTGCTCAATATATTAAACAGTATACATTCTGTTGTTGCTGCTGAGCTTATGATTCTGGGTAGTTGGTAAATAAGTTTACTTACATTTAAATTATCTCTTTCTAGAACTCAGCAGCTTTGTCCTTCAGGCAGCCTCCTGAAATTTAAATAAAGTGCACTTGGAGATCTGAGCCCCTGAGCTTTAAAAGTGAGGGCAAAGAGGAAGGGTAGGAAAGGGGGTGGGCTGGCTGCTGGATGAGAATCTAGAAATATTGTGCCGTGTCAATTGCATCCGACCTTTCATTTTCAGGTTGCCTGAATTAAGAGAGTGAAATTACCATAATAAAAAGAAAGGGATACCGGAGAAAGCACCTCTGTACCTTCTAGTGTTGTTGCCAGTGGTCATTCTCACAGACCTCTCATTAAATGGACAATCCTCTCCACCGACCCCCAGGTTGACTCAACTTTGCATTCGGTGACTGTCATTTGAAAACAGGCGCCGTAAGAAGCAATACTGCGTGATTCTCAACTCAGACTTTTTTGCATGTTGCATTTGTACTATGGAATTAGCAGGAGACCAAATGCCTCAGCAGCCAAAGGGGGGAGGGGTGTTTATTTATTGTTATATAGTTTTTAAAGGAAACTCCAGAGAGAGGGAAAAAAAAACTTTGTTTTAAGAAACGCATTAGTTTTTCAAGAAATTTTGGTTGGGTGGCCATAAATACTAAGGGAGGGGACTAGAGTTGAGAGAAGCAGCAACATACCAGTCTCAGATCAGGTGGGATCCTTTTGGTCTAGCAAAGAGCACAGTAAATAGCACCTAGAGAGTTCCCCGGCCCTCTGTGCAGCCGGGAGCAAAGGGTAGGAGGGACAGCCTGAATTGAGAAGGCGAGTGTGCCTCTAGGGCTTTGGACTCGAAATAAAAGGCTGAGCGGTGATCTCTGCTTCCCAGCTGGGCGGTGATCGCCCCCTGCGACTCCGGAGGCACACAGCAGTCTGAGCACCGCCGCTGCCGCCGCCCGACCCCTCTCACAGCCTCCAGCTCTGCTGATAGGCAACCGAGGGCCACACGCGAGCTCCCCGGACACCTGTGTGCCCCAAGCTCCGCGTCTAGGACCCTCTCCCTAGAGAGATCAGTCTCAGCTCCTCAAACATTGGGTCCTTCCGACTCCTAAGTTCCCAGGTTCTGCCACGCTGGTGACTTGTACGGGTTCCCCAAGCTTCCACCTCCGTCTGCGGGGGAGTCCTGCGCTCCCGCGTCTCCCCACCGCCTGGCTGGCCAGCCGCTCCCGCGCCCGGGTGGGATGGGCGGCGGCTCGGCCGCAGGACCCCGGCCTCAGGGTAAATCCTCTCCTCCCCCTTCTCCGCCTAAGCCCTGCCCTCCTCCTTCAGCAAACCGCTCCGGCGTAAGCGCCCCTCTCTCGGCTGAAGACACCTGCGCTTCCTTCCCCACCCTTCTCCGCCCCTTTCGCTGCGGTTTCTCACCGCCTTTGGGAGCTCGGGAGCGCCTGCTGGAGGAGGAGCAGGGGGAGGCGGCGGAGGGCGAGGAGTAGGGGCGGGGTGGGTGGGGAGAGAGCGGGAGGGTGTGGACTGGCAGCCACTCTGCAGCTGGTCGCCGGGGACCCGGTCCCTCCCGCGCGCCGAGTGATGGAGGGGAAGAGATTCGCTTAGACACACACACGCGCACACAGCTGGGCACGTCTCCGGGAGGCAGCTGCCGGCTCGGGCGCGCCGGGGGCCGGGCGGCGGCCGTGACAGCGCCAGCCGCCGGGAGCCGGGCGCCGGCACCGCTTGGCACCGCGGCTCCGAGACCCCGGAAGGGAAGATCCCAGCCGCACCGACTGTTGCTCTTTAGGGCAGATCGGGAGGGAGCAGGCTGCCCGAGGAGCTGTCACCGAGGACACCCGAGGCTCTCCCTTGGCGCTCGGAGTCCGGGGCCGCGCCAGAGCCCGCGTGGGGCGAGGAGGATGCGCACCTCCTCCCGCAGAGCGGCTGCGGGCCCGGGCGCTGCGTGGACTCGGGCTCCGGCGGCTGCCCGTGCCGTGCCTGCGCCGCGGGAGCGCGCCCTGCCGCACCTGGCTCCGGCCTCCCGGGGAAGTGCAGGAAACGCGCCCTAAACTCCACTACTTCTCGTCCGCTTCCTCCCCCTTCCGGCTCCCCGCCCGGCTCCCGGCCGCCGCCGCCGCCGCCCGCGTGTGGGGCCCGCCCGCCTCTTACTCTCCCGCGCGCACGCACTGCGCGGTCGCTCGCTCCCATTCACGCCGACACGCTCTCCGCGGAGCCCGAGCCCCGGCTTCCGAAACTACTGGACCAACTGCCGCGGGGACTGCGGGAGCGACCCGTGGCCCGGCGCGACCCGTCTTCGGCGCCCGCGACCTGGGCTCCCGCCCCCGCCGCCGCGCCCGGGACGGAGGTGAGTAGGGCGCGCGGCCAGCCTCGCGCCGGGGAGGGGCTCGGGCGCGGCGGGCTGGAAGCCCCTGGATTTGGGAGGAATGGACGCTCGAGAGGGGAATCGCCCACGGGAGACGTCCGTGCGGTGCCAGCCGAAACCACTTTGGGGGGCGCGGTTCTCCTGGGTACTGGCTGGGGTAGACTTGTGAGACGTTCGCTGGGGTTCGGGGTTAAACTAACGCGAGGCGGGAAGCGGCGGGGCGATTCCCGGGGTCAATTTAGAGAGTCGTAGGTGTCGGTGGGTCAGCCTCAGCCCGCGCAGGGCACAGCGCGCTGGGCTCTCTTGGAGGCGGCGAGCGAGGAAACACGCGTAAACTGCGCGCTGCAGAGTTTGGGGGTCGCACCCAGCCACTTCCCCGGGTGGCTGCGGGCTGTCGCTTGGAGCGCGAGACGGCTTTGGGGGACTGGGGGACTGAGGCCGGAGCGGAGGGCAGACAGAGAGGCTCAGTTAACTTGGGCCGGGTGCGATCTCCGCCCCGGCCGGCCCCCATCCCTCAGAGGTGATGGGTCCCCGGCAGCCCCAGACCCTGCAACCCATCCCACTCACGCACCACCAATACACACGCGCGCGCGCGCGTACACACACACACACACACACACACACACACACACACACACACACACACACGAGATGGATGCAATCGAGGGGGCGGTCATATTATTCAGAGGTGCGCGAGGTCGCTGTGGCTTCTGACTGGAGCGCAGAGACTCCTGCTCCTGGGACTTGAGTGATCGCCTTGGTTTAGGGACGCGGGGAAGGAGCGCCCGGAGGAGCACCCAGACTCTTGTGGACGCCCCTACCTGGCGGTTCCAGGTGCACAGCGAGCAAGTCTCCGCTTCGACTCCGGAGTCACTTCGCCTTGGCGGGCTCCTTTCTCGAGCTGCCCTCTTGGCGTGCTTCAGGGTGCCCGCCCAAAGGGGCTGCCGCCCAGATCCATCCGTGGTTTCCCCAGTCCTCACCCGGTGGGGCGGTCTCTCCCTCTCCATCTCTCCTCCTTTCCCTCCCTCCTCCCCATACCACCTTCTTCATGGAAAACATTGATCCCTTAAGAGGAGGTTTAATATTTGCAAAGTGCTTTATATCATATTACTTCGTGGGTACATTTAATTGCACTGTAACTCTTCTCTGATTTATGTAAACTTAGTCTGATCAATAGCATGCAGGGTCAGGTTGGGCGTGAGCGAGAGTGAGTGGGGGTCCTTTCCGTAAAGGTGCCCTTTTCCTAAACAGATTTGCTGGAAGTGCTGTGAGCGTGGTTCTTCTGAAAGCTTTTGCTCAGTACTTTTGACATATTTGAAAGCTTTGGACAAATGTTTCCACATTACAATTTATTTCAAATTTATTCCATTCCCATTCCAAGAAAAAGCTGCAGTGAAGGTAAGAAAAGAGATGACAAATTTGGATATCAGAGCTATTTTTAAAAACGTTTTTATTGATCTCAATTATGTTGTGGCAGATTTCTAAAAGTTACCTTAGTGGTTTCTCCCAGGGAAGCTCTTAACAGGAGAAATAAAAACAATACTACAAACCTTCCTCCCTTTGTTTGTTTACAAATGGTCCTTGCTTGAAATGACTGGAGGAGTAGAGGGTGGGATTCATTAGGAGTGTGAAGTCAGTCACCAAGGGACTAGACTTAGGAAGATATTGCACACAACATAATGATGAACGGACACTGTTGTTTAAATTTAACTGCCTCTCAGAGTCTGAACAGTGCAATTGAAAACTGCTCTCACCCCTTCCAGATTACTCCCGAGTGCTTTCAAGTATTCTTTTTTCAGTTACTAAAATGCATAGAAACATTATTAATAATGTAAAACAATATTTTCAAATAGATACCTAAATCAGGTTACATGGGAAATTATGAGCATAGCACATAATGGGGTTTCACAGAAGTGTGAGGATCATGATTTCTAGGTTAAACCGGACCTCATGCTTAGATTTTAATACTGGCAGTTACTCCCTTTTTGACATCTTTCTGAGAAGGTACTCCTTACAGTGTTTTGATTATGCTTTCATCGTTATCCTTACCATCTTGCAGGCAGACACAGATGTTTTTGAATGAATAACCTTCTTACTCACTGAATTTCCACTCATTCAAAAAGCATTTATTGAGCACAGGAGCACACACACACATAGGCAAAGCTGAGCTGGGTGTTATTTTAAATACTAAGGAAGGATTTTCGGCAGAAGCAGGATGCTTACTCCCACACTCTGTAAAAACAAGTGCAGAGCAGCGGCTTACTTGGGGAAGCGGCATCTTGCCCAAAGTAGGTGGTCAACAAAGAGTTGTTGACTCAAAACGCGTACAAGATGTTAACCAGCCAACTTGCTTTCACCATAAATTCTACCATTATTCTTAACCCACCACATCATTTAGATATGACTCAACTTCGGAGAATTGGTGCTGACTTGAATCCTCTCCCTCTTTGTCTGAATACTTTGGAGAAATGTAACTATCCCTGCACTGCTCTAGTTTTCCGTGTATGATTTCTGTAGAGCAGTGCCAGACCTGCATATGTCATTAGTAGTCATTTATGAGGGGATGCAAATGTTCTGTTGCACTGAAAAAGTGAACTCAAATCCCTACAGCACAGCAAACAATTTGCTCCTTTTCTCTCCTCTTTGTTTTTGTGATCTCAGAAACAGTAACAGCTCTTAAAAAAGCAGTAACATGTCAAAGAGGTCTATAAGAAAAAAAGGCTATTTAAGATTGTTTAGAGAAAGGGAAACATCTTATGGAAATTTTAGTCGAGGAGAATTTTGTTTGGCTCTCTGGACATGTCTGGCAGGATGGTCTTTTATTTTAGGGACGTTCATTCATGAATGAAATAACTCTCAACATAACTTCCTAGTAAAGGGAGCTGGCAGAGGAGAGAATGCTTGCGAAAAACGATGCTAACAACCCTGGGAATAGAGTGTGAGCAGTAACACTAGGTTTGTGCCGCTGAAATTATGTGAATACTTGTATCTTTTATTGGTCTTTATATGCATGCCTCTTTTAGCAATACTTTATTCAGATAGTTTCATATTCTGCAATTAGTGCAATTAAGCGAGGAGCTCTTATTTGGTAACGGAATTACAGTTTGTTTTCAGAAAAGATAAATAGTTTGAAAGAAGAGAACAGACCAAGTTAAGGGACTAATTATTCAAAGGACAGGTTTATCTTGATTCAAAGTTTGTCCTTTTTTGGTAGGGAGGGGAACTTCAAAACCAAAGTAGCTAGTTGAACTTTGTTACAACCTAAATTGCTACTGTTTAGAAAAACCTTACATTTTAATTTTCTGCAAATTTAATATGAATTCTTTAAAGCCAGCGAAAGAGTATCTTACCACCACCCCCACCTCAGAATCTAATTTAATTGTTGGTATAGTTTGCTCACTCTAGAATCAGTGTTTGTTTCTGAGAGTCATGATGTTATCCTGACCTTTACAGCAGAAGTACAATTAAAGCAAGACATTAATAACTGCATTTAAAAATCACTGATCTAAGTCAGAAACATTTCAGAGCAGCTAACATTAACAAAAGTAGAAGCAAAAGATTATATCTGGAGATCCACACAGTGTATAGGCAGGATAAATGAACCTCTATAGCTCTCATATGCAAGTTCCATTATCTTGTCTTCTTTAACATTTGGTCCAATGGATTATTTCCCATTTTCTTGAAAAGTGTTATGAAAGAAAACTATGTCAAGATTTTTTTTTTTTTGGCATATGAGTTGAAGAAATAGTTGAAGAGTTGCATTGCCTTTAGCCCACTTTACCTAGATTGTGCGTGGGAGGTGATATACATATATACACATATATACATATATGCACATATACTCATGTGTACATATGGAGTATATCTTTATATATCTATGTTTTGTCTAATAACTTTGAATAATAGGAAGAGAATCTCCTTTGTGGCATATGTTTTGTGAAGTCAACATCATCATAAAGAATGGCATTTATAAAGAGTCAAATACTTTGATGTCAAAAATTGGAGCATATTCAACTTTTTGGAACAATTGGTTTAAGAAGCATTTATCATAGCCTTTAAGATGTGCCTGTGCACTGTCCAAAGAACTCTCTTATTATTAACTCACTTAATTTTGGTTGCCACCCTCTTCTCCCCCTGTTTCAGAGGGAAAATAAGTAGGTAAGGTGGATGTTATTATTATCCCTACTTAGGGGAAGAGGAAAAATGAGGCCTAAGTATATGGCTCCGACTCCAGGGCTACTAAATGGCAGAGCTGGTGTTGGAGCCCAGGCTGTTGACCATGCCATGCCGCTGCTCTTGAAGAGATACTCTTTTAAAGCTTACTGGAATAAGGGGCCAAGTGGGGAGCAAGTTAAGTTGTCAAACAAAAACATTCTAGCAACTGTGACTTATGACAATGTTCAACTTGGAGTGCATTCTTAAGGAATTCATAAAGAAGGCAATTGTCACAAAGCGCTGACAGAACTTGAACACAAGCAGTGACAGAGGAGTGCTGTCACTTAATGTAATAGTTAATGGACTCAATAATTTTCTTAGGTTCAGCCACTTTTAAATTAGGTAACTTAAGAACTGATGCCATATTGAAGTAGTTTTAATAGCTCAGAGGCTCTGTTACTGAATGTTTTATGCTTCCCGTAATGTCCTTATAATGTGAACTCCTTGTGTAGAGGTCAGTGTTACATGCTCCTATACAGTACTTGCCAAAGGAATCCAAGTTGGGTTTTTTTTGTTTTGTTTTGTTTTTTTATGAAGGTGTGAATGAGACTTAATATGTTCTGATGCACAGGACATACAGTAGGCAATCAATTAATGTTTACTGCATGAAGTGATACAGGGTATTCTACAAGTTGCCAGACCAGAAGTTAAAAAAAAAGAAATTAAAAAAATGTTCAAGTCTTTGTAGGGCATAGTTGCAAGGTTGTGATTTAATATTGAGTGGACTTTTTCCTTGGTCATGATCTCAGGACATTACAGTCCATGAAACCCTGTGGAATAATAATCTTGATGAGACTGAATGGCCTGAGATAGGAGGAGGAGGGCACAGGAGGGTGAAATACTAAACTGACTAAAATGTTTAAATTGAGAAGCGGATGAAAGGAAAACCACCCATAACTGTACCTTTTATTAAAAAAAAAAAAAGCATATAAGACAAATGAACATCCAGCATCCCTCCTCATCAGGGAAGTACAAATCAAAACCACACTGAGATACCACCTCACGCCAGTCAGAGTGGCTAAAATGAGCAAATCAGAGACCTCTAGATGCTGGCAAGGATGTGGAGAAACGGGCACCCTCCTACACTGTTGGTGGGAATGTAAACTGGTACAGCCCCTCTGGAAAACAGTGTGGAGGTTCCTCAGGAAACTAACAATAGAACTCCCCTATGACCCAGCAATAGCACTGCTAGGAATTTACCCAAGGGATACAGAAATGCTGAGGCATAGGAGCACATGTACCCCAATGTTCATAGCAGCACTCTCCACAATAGCTAAAACATGGAAAGAGCCTAAGTGTCCATCAACAGATGAATGGATCAAGAAGATGTGGTTTATCTATACCATGGAATACTACATGGCAATGAGAAACAATGAAATGTGGCCATGTGTAGCAACATGGATGGACCTTGAGGGTGTTATGCTGAGCGAAATAAGTCAGGCAGAGAAGGACAAATATCATATGTTTGCACGTATAGGAGGATTAGGAGGAACTTGACGGAGGAACAAGGGGGAGAAGAAGGGGCAAATGGTGGGGGAAAGGGAGAGAGGCAAACCATGAGAGACTCTTGAATGCTGACAAAAACTGAGGACTGATGGATGTGGGGGGGAGGGGCAGATGGGCATGGAGGAGGGCACTTGTGGGGATGAGCACTGAGTGTTATGTGGAAACTAATTTGACAATAAACTATTTGTAAAAAAAAAAAAAAAAGACAAATGAACATCAAGTACCAGGATCTTTACACTGCTAATGAGGTAGCCTACCTGTCCTGTCGTATTAATCATCTTATTAAATGTATCATTTGGGAAACTATTTATGAACATATTACAGTGTCACTGTAATCTCTTTTCCACTGCTAACTCAAGTCAAGGAAAAAAATCACAATGTTTCTGAATGTGTCTCAGTATAAATAAAGTATTTATTATAGTAAAAGTACTGGGGTTGGAGAAGGCTGGCTGAATTAGAAGCCCTGCTTCATAGTTTATTAGCTGTGGGATCTTGGGCAAATTACTTAACCTTTCTATTTCTTAGTAACATTATCTTTTATATGGTTGTGGAAATACCAGTTCTAGATTTCCATATGATAATATATGTAAAATGACTAGCAGAGAGCGTCACACATGGTAAAGGTTTAGGAAATAGTAATTGATATCGCTGTAATCTTCATCACCTTTAACATCAGCATAACGTCCTCACAGATGGTTAAACACAACGGGGCACATTATTCTTTATTTATCTATTTATTATGTATGTGTGTGTATATGTATATTTGAATTGGTTCTCCATTGTAAAACATAGGTACTATGAATTCTTTTACTGTTGAGGGAAAAGTAGAAAGAGAAGAAATCTGTGTTTCAGACTGGATTTAAAGGCCTGTGTCAAGCATAGAGATTAAGAGGAGGCTTTGAGAAAGCTACCTCACTGTTTGTCCTTGTAGGGCCCGGCTGTATGTGTTCACACAGTTCTTTGGAAGATAAATCCTTCTATAGATATAGTTAATGGGGAAGAACAAAAGGCATTGAAAAGCATTGAAATATTTATGTTTATCTATATCCAATATGAGTTGAAGTATTAGGATATATAGAAATTTTTTCTCTTTTATATATATATATTTATTTTTTAAAAAATATTTTTATATCATATAGAGTTCATGGTATAAAGTAAAAGGCTATTTGCTAACTCTGGTCATTAAACTTGAGTACCAGAATTTCAAAGGTTAAATTTAACTTTATTCTTAGATTTTTTTATTGTTCCCCCCTATTACCTATTTAATTTAGGTAGATATCTGGCTATCCTCACTTTACAGATTTATAAAGCCTAGGAACTAATGTTCCTTCATGTTTATTTTGTCCTAATGAATATACCTACTTACCTCTTAATATCTGGAAAAATAATCAATGATAATAGATAGCATTTAATCAATATTTACTTGGTACCGAGCATTGTACAGGTCATAACACATTTCATTCCCGCAAAACATTCAGTGGGACATGTCATTAGTGTTTCCATTTCACAGGTGAAGAAACTGAGGCCCAGAGAAGCCCTATCACTAGAGGGGTGGAGCCATGATCCAGACTCCTGCTGTCTAGCTGAGAGCCCACACGTGCCCACACCAGCAGACTTCTCAGCAGCGTTTAGCCCCGGAACACCATCCCTGGATATCTGGGCCTTGAAACTCACGCCTCTCTATTTCCCTGTGTCTCTCCTGCAGCAAAAGAGGGATTTATTTTTAATAAAGTTTGATTTCTTGGCTTTGTCGTATCACACTATTTTCCAATGTATATGCAACAGCCGCTAAAGCTAAAGAATGAGACTATATTAATTTTTAGTAAACTGTTGGAACTATTTTTAAATAGATTTAAATAGATCTGCCAAGATCCTGCTAAATAGTTGCATCCGTACTCTGTATGCACAGGGAGGGAACTGCCACTCGATGCTAGTGGAATTTCTTCATCTAGTGAGCTAGCTGCCTGTGGCTGAGCTTGCTAATTGTCTCACTTTCTGTGAGCTGAATGAAATAGTATAGGATCTAGGGCATCAGAAAGGGGCTTTCTTCCCAGGGACTCTGCAGAGGAGTGGAGAGGCTCACCACTAGGGAGCTACAGGGTTCCCGCAGATGTCTAGGGTTCCCTCCTCTTAAGAAGTCAGAAAAGGTCCAAAGACCGTACTGTTGTCCACCTGACTAAGTGATTCTGAAAGGCAGGGACTATGCTGGGTTACCTTTATTTATTTCCGTGGTATTTGGCACATGGCATAATGGGGCACACACAGGGCTTCTTTGTTTGGTTCAGAACCTGGAAAACAGAGAGCTGAGGGGTACAGGTTGGGGTGGGGGGTTCACAGGAGAGAGGCAGAGACAGAAAATGGGACAGATATGGATGTGCCTGAGGGAATGATGGGCCAGAAGGTGGATTGGTAGCTAGTGAGAGTACTTGTTTCCATTTAATTTTTTATTCAGATATGGCTATATTGTTTCTCCCCCCATCTAGACCGGATGTGCAGGGTCCACTTCATCCTGATATCTGACTCTTCATCGTGAAGCACATTATTGCTAGTTGTCATGACTGTGGTTTCTGGCACACCAGAAAATCTTAATAAATATTAGCTATAATCATTGCCCAATTTTCTACAGAACGTTAGGGTAAAGTTCAAACTAGTTCCACAATCAAAGCTCTATTTTTTTCAGTCAGGTGTTTAGGTTATTCTCATACCCTGTCTACTCTGCAATAGGCAACTGGGCAGTCACCAGATACTATAGCAGCATTAATTTTGGAGTTGCTGAATTCTATAAATACTAACATCCTTTGAATACGGAAACCCCAAGTTTGTACTTAACAACAGTGAGATCAAGGGCTTGGACTTTTGGGTGCACCATTACTTTCTTAATGTTACTTCTTATGAAATACTTCCTGTTATTTTGCTCTTCTGTATTGGCAACATCATCTATCAAGACACTCAAGAAAAGTGAGAAACCAAGAAGAATAGTTAGTTATAAGGATCGTAGTAGGAATACAGGTAGGTAACTTGGGATCCTCTTGCATTTCTCCTCTGGTCTGTCACCAAGACATGACACCCCAGCCTCCTGAACTCCTACCTATCCCATCAGCCTCAGTGCACCTGCTTTAGTTCAGTCAGAACTTCTCTCCTGAATCACACCAGCCACCTTACTAGCTTCAAGTATCTATTCTTATCAGTGCTTCTGCAGGGTTGTTGTTTTGTCTTGTTTTGTTTTGTTGTTTTGTTTCCAAATGCAAACCTGATCATGTAATTCCCCTGCTTAATAACCTGCAGCATCTTTGCTTTTAGGGTAAAGTTCAGACTTGTTCGGCATTCCAAGATTTGATAGTTCCAAAGACCCCGCCTAGGACTTATCTCCTGTTTACTCCAAAACGAGGTCCCTCGTTTCTAGGCAAGGAAAAGAGCGTGCTCTTTCCACACAGCATGCCTTTGTACATGCTGTCGATCTGCCTCGAGTGCTCTCAGCTTGTCTGACTTCTCTTCCTCTTCCCACCACTTCTCTTTGTTTCCTTATCCCTTTCCTTCTTGCAGCCTCTCCACCCCACCCAAGCCAGGATGGGCCGGCTTTCTGTTCTTCTATGGTATATACTCTATATAGATTGTATTCCTGAATTATTGGTTTGTTAGTGGCCTCCCGATATTCATATTACACACAGTCACTCCACCTCAGCTAATACCCATATCTCCAGTGCCTATCATAATGTCTGGAATATAAGAAGCACTAAATACATTTTTATTGGAGAAGTAATCATGATATCATTCCCTCTGTCTTACTTTTTCCCAACTTTTTCTTGCTCACTAACTTGCTTGATTTATTGTAGTACACATTTATTGAGCACTTAGTGTGTGACGGGCAGTGGGTTGGGTGCTGAGGATGTCAGTGACACACTCCTTGCTTTCAAGGAATTTGCCAGCCTAAGAATAAATTCAGCTGGTAAATGAATAGGAGGTATTTGGTGTGTTACATGAGGGAGAGAAGATGCAGTGAGGACACAGGATGAGGAAGAAGGTCCCATTCTGCCTGAGATTAGGGAAAACTTGCTCCCCATCCCCCAGTCCGTTTCCCCCCTTCTCCGATTTTCTCAGTGTCCACAGGAGGTGTCCATTCAGCAAGACTAGATGGATTTTTTTAAGAGTAGATTGAGGTCTCTCTTTCTCTAATAATGGTCTGTAGAGAACTAGGCAGTTTTAATTTTTATATTCTATATTCAAGACTTAAGAAAGCTTCAGAAAGTTCCATAATAGGGGTGCCTGAGTGGCTCAGTTAGTTAAGTGTCTGACTTTGGCTTCAGCTCAGGTCATGATCTCAAGGTTTGTGGGTTCATGGTTTTGAGCCCCATCTTGGGTTCCATGCTGACAGCACAGAGCCTGCCTGGGATTCTCTTTCCCTCTTTCTCTGCCCCTCCCCTGCTCGTGTGCATGAACACACTCTCTCTCTCTCAAAATATATGAATAAACTTGAAAAAAGAAAGTTCTATAATAGTCCATAAGCTCATTTTTTAGTTTTTCTTCTATTCAAATTCTTTTAAATATATCTAATAATAAAATATTTATTTATGATTTTCCCCTAAATCAAGACACTTATATTTAACCAATTAGGGTATTTACTTAATGTGAGATAAAAATTTCTAAGATTTGAAATAAACATGAAATTAAATTCCTTCACTATGGCCAAAACAGAAAACTCCATAAAAGCAAAAGATTAGCTAATAACCTATGATAATCACATTAACATCTTATCTAGTTCTAAAGAAATAGCAATGGCTTGTTGATTGATGTATTTAATAGGAAATATTTTTAGATGTGTGTGGCCATTCCCTGGTGAGTAACCAAACATACAAATAAAATAAGAAAGGGGCGTCTGGGTGGCTCAGTCGGTTAAGGGTCCGACTTCGGCTCAGGTCATGATCTCATGGTTCATGGGTTCGAACCCCACGTCGGGCTCTGCGCTGACAGCTAGCTCAGAGCCTGGAGCCTGTTTCAGATTCTTTGCCTCCCTCTCTCTCTGACCCTCCCCTGTTCATGCTGTCTCTCTCTCTCTCTCTCAGAATAAATAAAACATTAAAAAAAATAAAATAAGAAATTCCCTTCAAAAGTAAAAATATAATATTGCTTTCAAAAGTATAACATAAAAACTGTAATGCACTATTCTCTAAAAATATTGATGCATGTAGTATGGTATCTAAGCTGTGACTATTTTAGCTGACTTCTTTTATTGTATTATTTCTAAAATTAAAAACAAAACCAGTATTAAATATTATATTATTTGCTTCCTCTAAAGTACTTAAAAACATTAACTAATATTTCCTAGTTGTACAAACATTACATTCCCACTGTATGCCTTAAGGCTGAGAGAAAACCAGCAGCCATATAAAAGTAGAACCAAGTTAATCCGTTGCTTTCAGTTATAAATTTACTTGGAACTTTTTATGCTGTTGTGAGAATTTAACTAAATTCTGTTTTAAAAAGTACCTTAGTTAGGGATGATATGTATTATAGGGATGTATATATGCATATTTTATTATGTATACTATAATAATATTAAATCATATACATGTACATATATGCATACATATGTATGTGTGTATATACATACATATATATAATTCTTCCTATACCTTTAGTAGCTTCTTGATTACCAAATAATTCTGTAGCCTTGATGAAGGGATAGTTTTACTCTTTTACAAGCATGAAGCTCTTTGTGACCTAATTCCATCACAATTACAGTCAGCCATTTTTGTATGTGGTTCCCTATATACATTACATGTTCCAAAATCTACTTGAAGATAAACTGTCAGAAAACTGAACAAGAGACTTGTGTTTCTTTTAAGTGGATTCCCATAGAATTTACCATCCAAGCTGGGATGCTTTGAAAGCAAAAGGAGGTCTATTAATCATTATGCTGAGAGAAAAAAACCATTCTAAATCCTTAAACGTGGTTACTGTGGTGCTGCCTTCCTGTGTCCAGCGACCCTGCAGTGGGGAGACCAGCTGTAGAAGGCTGGGCACACACCTTCATCCCTTACCCAGCACAAGGCTGGGGCAGACAGTCTGACAACGACATGTGTTACAGTGTTTGTGCTTGGACTCTATGGTACTAAAAGTAGGCTTGAGGAGGAGGACTTTTTTCTTGTTCCAGAATGCAATCAAGTGGGTCTTACCTCCCCAGGTTGGCAAAAGGGAGCCTGATGTAGGAGGGGGTGTAGTGCAGAGAAAGGAAAGATGTTTGCGTTGCTCTGGTAAACCTACGGACACTCGTGCAATGAAACAAGGCCCTAATGGTCCCCACTCCATCAGCACCAGACCGCAGCTGGGATGCACACCGCTGGCTCTGCTGTCTACACCCTCACCACCAAATTTCACTTCCTGGCTTCATCCAGCTGGAATGGGAACAAGTAACAATACCATGACAATAGCTCAAAATCGTCACTCATGCACTCATGAGCACGTACTATATTCCAGGAGTGGTTTCCGCTGATTCAAAACCTGAGTTTGGCATATGACAACTATTTAAGAATGCAGTGAAATTGTCTTAGAAACCCAAAAAGCCAACACATCTCAGAGGTCCACAGTCCATGTTTGTCTTACTGGCTTCTCCCTTTGAATAAGCCCTACTCTGTAAGGAGCTCAGTAGCTACTCAGTGTGTTCTTTCTTCAGTTGAGATGCTGATCACTTGAAAGTTTTAACATTTTGGTTGTTTCGAAATATCTGGAATGACCCATGTACTCTCAGTAAAGGAGGTGAGAATTTACACTGTGGAAAAGGGAGAATTTACACCCCCTGGACCTTTCATTCCTTACCCAATGGAGGAGTCCCAGCAGAAAGAATATAAGTTAATGTCTTTTGCCTACTGTATTTCAAAAATACTCTTACATAGTTCTGCCTTTTTTTCATTATTTCCCATCAGGAAAGCTTTTTTTTTTTTTTTTTCTGTCTGGGATGAACAACCAAATTATTAATTGTATTTAAATACTGTGCTGTATGCAGAAGAGTAGCTGCCAAATTTGTTGGGACCTATAACAAGATAATTAATTATCCAGGAACACGAGGACTATTGGAGTGTTGGATATAAAGCAGATGGTGGGGGAAGAAGGATTAGGCAATCAGGATGCTGTGAGGGGTGTGATAAGTCTTTGAGCCTGAGGGGGGGGGAGGGGGCAAAGGGTAAAGACACTTGTGCACCAAGCCCCTGGGTCCTCCCTGCTGTGTTTTTCCCCACCCAAACGCTTCACTCATTGAGACTCTGGCTTCCCCTTCCCACTGTTGCCACATTCATTTTAAATGTCAGGGGAAGTCCGGGGAGGGGAGGCGCAGGTCTGCTCCCCTTAGACCCTGGACACAATGCCAGCATCTGCCGCAGCTCCTGTACCTATTCTGTGTAGGGGAATGGGCTGCCAGTACCTTCATCCCGACGTTGCTTGTAGTCAGATAGATTTAGAGCTTTAAAGAGTTTTATGCTTTCTTCAGAAGCAATTAAGATAAATTAATATTACAAGCAAATGCCATGAAATTTTTTCATTTGCAAATTTCAAAGACCTGAACGGAAGTCAAACGTTTTCTCAGAGAAAACCTGGTTGAGTATCAGTAATACAAGGTATAGAAGAAATAGTTACTACCCCCTTTCACCTTGCAAAGTGATATTCCTCTGTCTAATCCATTTATGAGAATTAGAAGGCTCGTTTGTACTGAACTCCACTTGATGGTAGAGATAATAAGCGACTTCACTATTGATGCTTTTCTTACAGATTACCATCATGATGTATTTTTAACTCAGAAAGGCATAGTATTGGGGCGCCTGGGTGGCTTAGTCGGTCGAGCGTCCGACTTTCGCTTGGGTCATGATCTCGCGGTTCGTGGGTTCAAGCCCCGCGTCGGGCTCTGTGCTGACTGCCAGCTCAGAGCCTGGAGCCTGTTTCAGTCTGTGACTCCCTCTCTCTGACCCTCCCCTGCTCACGCTGTCTCTCTCTCTCTCTCTCCATAAATAAAACATTAAAAA